TCTTCTCTACTCAATGGGGTCTGTGTCTGTGAGTCTTATGCTATCAGTGTCTGCCTTTAACACTTCAAGCAAGTCTGTCTATGTCCTCTTCAGTTTGAAAAAAATGTTTAATTCCTTATTTCTTAATTTCAATTAAGCTCTTTCTCCCATAAAAATAAAAAATATATATATTAGCAAATGCACTACCTTCTTAGCACTGCAAGGGCAGGATGGGAGAATAAAATCTAAACACCCCTCCTATCACCAAGGAACCCGAACAACCCTCTGACCGTGGGGAAGAAGAAAAAACCCCTGGACACGTCTCTGTCTCTGATTTCCACTTAACCTCAAAAGTTCTCATTCTGAAGCCTGAGAGGACAGGGCTGGAAAAGAAAGAACATGGGGTATGCTTCTAGAGGTATCACCCAGCAGTCCTCTTGTTAGTATGACTCAAGCGTCTTTCAGAAGGAGTGGCCCACCCCCAGCCCACGTGCTTCACGTCCCAGCCAGCCCTGGTGCATCAGCCATCAGGCATCAACTGTCCCCACCCCCAGGGCAGCAGCCACCACTGTTCATTGTTCACTGTCCTCTCCCATCAACGCATTTTCCTAACAGCCTCCCCACCCTGATTCCAGAAGCGCGAGTCAGCAGTACGCACTGGGCATCCCATATAGGCAGAGTTGTGGACTCCGGGTGGCCTTTTGTAGGTGCCGTCACTGTCTGTGGTGATGAGTCTGTCCTTCTCAGCGTCAGCAGGGCAGCCATTGACCTGGTGTTTCCGGCGTGGCTTAGGAGAGCGCTTTATCCGTGAGCTGCCAGGAAAAAATTAATTAGCTTGGTAGGGATAAACCATCTTGCCACTGGCTTATCAACTGAATGCTAAGTATTTTTGGAGGACCTACAAGGTGCGGGCCATGGTCATAAACACCCCATGAGGATACAAACAACGTGTGAGACACTGTCTGCTCCAAGGAAGCTCAGAGCCTATGGACAGGCCCCTTAACACACACGAAACAACAGAGAAGAACACGGGGCAACCTATAACCACGACGTTACATAGTTATATAGACGTTCAGAAAAGGAACAGGCCATGGCGAGCTGTTACCATCACCACTGGCTACTGGGGGCCTGAGCTGGGTGTGGAAGTGCGTGGGCTCTGGATCCAGGAGGGCCACGGAGGAGGATGTGAACCAACGTGCCAAGGCCAGAAGCGGGGGCGCAGGGGAATGCCTGAGGGACAAGGAGGGATCATCCACCGGTGTGGCAGCTCCATCTCTGTGGCTGACCAGTGGAAAAGAGCGGGAATGGCAGGCAGGCCCCACCTGCCACAGGAGCACAGATGCCACGTGGCAGCAGGCAACAGAGGCCACCTCAGGTTTTGAGTAGAGACACATACATGAGAAGAGGGTCTAAAAAAAATACATCCACTAGGAGGCAGGAGTCTGGGGACCAGGAGACAGTAAGCCCCAAGGCTCTGCAGGGGGTCGTGGTAAAACAAGTGCAGAGTCCACAGACGCCGACCTGGGCAGCTGCCGGGACATGAAAACCCTGAGGTGACAGAGCAGGAGAGAGAGCTGGGGGATGGGCCGGGGGGAGAAGCGGCTTCGGACACGCTGCACTAGAACAGACGAACTGAGCACAGAGCAAACGCTCTGCGGTGAGGAGAGGCGCAGCGGCGACCGCAGGGGACCGAGGTCCCCCGGCAGCCCACGCAGCCGCTCTGTGCACAGAGAAGCACGCGGGAGAGGACGGGCCCTTGCGCCCCCGGCCCCACGACGGTGAGGCCCCACCTCTTCCTGGGCTCTATGAACACCGAGGGCACGCTGGCCGTGGGGTCCAGGATCTTGTCGATCTGCATCTGCGCCCGGCGGTACACCCGGTGGCGCTCCTTGGTGTCACCCGGGGACAGGTCGTCCACCACGGGGAACTCATAGTGGCCGCGGCGCTTGGCGCGCAGCCGGATCTTGTTGCGATGGTGCTCGATCTCGGACTTGTGTCGCAGCGCCGTCTGAATCTGAGCAGGGCGACAAGAGGACAGTCGTGGTGTCCCCGGGGGGCTCTCAGCAGCGCCTTCCCGCGCCTTCCCGCGCCCCGCCCGCCTTGCTGTCCGCAGGCTCCCACAGAGGCACCAGGGACAGGAAGGCAGGCACAGCCCACACCGAGGAGCAGGGACCCTGCCACCCAACACTGCACGGTGTGCACTGGGGGGGTGGGGAGGGGTCAATGTTACTGTCCCCCAAAGCACAGGGGAAAAAATCTCTCAAACTTGGAAGAGAGGGCCGGCCCGGTGGCGCACTGGATAGTGCGCCGCTTGGGAAGTGCCGCGGCGCTCCCGCCCAAGGGTTCGGATCCCACATACAGA